ATGGGCCTTGACGTGCTTTAAAATGCTAAAGCGAGAAAAGCGAAACAAAATAAAAAGCGAAAGCAGAAGGCGAAATTAGAAGATAGAAAAAGCGAAATTTTGCATAATACGAAAGGCGAAACAGGAATCACGTCCCCGCTTCTCACAAAAATTTTCATATAAAAAATATTTTTTTTCAAATTTTGAAAATTTTTATGTAATCAAAAAAATCGAAAGTTTTTATTTTTTACTCACCTTTTTATTACTCAAAAAAGACAAAAGTTTAGTTTATCATTTATTTAATAAAGTTTAATAAATAAACAAAAATATTAAAAGCTCTTTTACATATAAACGTTAATATTCATTTTTAGTAAATATGTTTATTATTTTAAAATGATTATTTGACTATAATAAAAATTTTATTTTTTATTTTTAAATTTTATTTTATATATTTTACAAATGTGTACATATGTCGGTAATACCAAGGCTGGTCACACCCCCCCCCTTTTTCTGTTCCCCTGACCATTTTGAGCTTTTTTGCTTAACATATAATTTACAATATATTCAGAAGAGCAGACCGAGCTTAGTAGAAGGATACTATGATCGGTTAGATGGCGATTCTGAACAAAATTACGAAGCTAAATCCTTGATGGACATGCTTATAAAATGCCCCTAAGGGCTAAAAATCGTATCTTATATAATGAAGGGTGCCCTAACCAGGGAGTGTCGTTAAGAAGCCTCCCTTACCTAATGGACAATCTAATTTTAAAAACCGTATCCTAAATCGAGGTGTATCTAGTATTGTGTGTATATTATAGAGAGCTATGTAGATACTATAATGGGGGTGTGTCTTAAATTAAGGGTCATTTGAACGGGTACAGCCCAAGTAGGCGCGCGGCCATAACGGCGCAAAGCGCCTTAACTTGCTTCAAGATTTCTGAATCTTACCAAATTTAGTATTAAACGATTCCGCTCATCGAGCTAAAGAGATTGGTACCAAAATTGATAAGTGTCAGAAATTTTCCAGCAAGTTATAGCTTTGCGCCGTTATGGCCGCGCGCCTATTGGGCGTATCCCATTTGAACGTCACCCTCTAACTAGTGACTAACCGAAATTTTAAAATTTTTATTTTAAATTGAGGTGAGAGGGCTTATATTGTGTGTATCTTATTTAGAGAGTTTAGAAAAAAAAATTTTACAAAAAACAAACATTTTTTATTAATTCTGTAAAAAATCTTTCGGTAAATTGCCCCCTTTTCTTCATTTTTATTTAATTCCACGCATTCTTCATTGATTTTTCAGCTTTATCTATCACTATACAGCTTTTTTCACGAGCGTGCTTGCTATTCATTTCCCCTCAGTTTTTCTCCCCAAACAAATGATAGAATAAAGAAAAAATGTTTTCCATTCCCTGTTTTTTACATGTTGACGAGTGTTGAGGTCAGTTTATTACTGGCCCCATAACTTTTTTATGGATGGTCCAATTTTGATGATCTTTGTACCACTGGATAGAGCACAAAATTTGCTACAAAATACATTAAAAGCAGAATTTTTGATAAAAATTTAAAAAAGTTATGGTCGAAAAACTTGTAATTTTGGGTAAAAATTCGTTTTTTAGGGCGTTTTTTGGCCATAACTTTTTTTAATTTTTATCAAAATTTTTATTTTAAAATTCATTTTATAGAAAATTTTGTGCTCTATCCAATGGTGCAAAGATCATCAAAATCGGACTATTCTTCTAAAAGTTATTTAATCCGGAACTCAGTTGGTTCGAGCACTCAGTTGCTTCTCTCCCTTATTGACGTTTGCGCGCGCACTTTAGACAAAACGGTACTTCCGACAAAATGGTACATGGCAAAAACGTTATTTTACCAAAAATTTTTAGATGCTGTTTTTTGCTTTTTATTGTTTTTGCCAATCCCATTTTTTAAATTTTATTTTCCCGTCAAACTTTATCGTTATCCCCGTTTTGCCCCTTGTACCCTTTTTGTTTTGTACCATTTTGTCGCATACTATTTATATTTTTCTTTTTCCATTTTTATTTTTTCCCGTTTTTCTGTATTCCTTCTAAATATTTTTCTCTATTTTTTTATTTTTTTACTCCTTGGCCTTTTTTATAAAAAAAAATATTTTTCTTAACATTTTCTCAACAATTTATTTTTCTGTTTGTTTGTGTTGTTTGACGTTTCATTTTTGCAACTTTTGGATTTTGTAAAAAAATACAAAAAATACTTAATATATTATTATTTTATTATTTTTTGCTTTAAAATAAGCTTTAGAAAAATTTTTTTCTTTACAAAAAAAAGTTATTTTTAGAATAACTCGCAATTAATGGGGGCTAATTGGGCGCGAGGTAGTTAGGGCGCGAGAGGCTATAAATTAGTGAATATGGCACCTAGAAAGATAAAATTTGGGGAAAACAGACCTCGTTTGTTTATTTACGTTCTGAAAAAATTTCAGAATTTTTGGACCAGAATTTAGGAAATTCTGGCCAGAAATGTCTCAATTCCCCCAAAAATACCGTTATTTTTCGAGGTTTATCGCCTATAACTTTAAGAATATTTGACGAAAAATTTTGAAATTTTTGGAGTTATTGGGCAAGGACGTTAAGAAAATTTGAGAAAAGTTTCAAGAATTTAGTGTGGTTACGCCTCTGTTTTAAGGGACGCGCCTAAATGTCCACGCGCCCAAACGGCTTCAATCCTTTTGCAAAGGTTATTTTTGGAGCATTTCCCAATAAAAAATAATTAGATAAATTTTTTTATGTTCAAGCCAAATCTTTTTTTATATAAATTTAATTTACCATTTAATAAAGCTAATTAAATAAATTTAGCTGAGAAAGTTGCTAAAAAATTTTTTTGGAAATTTTTGGTGATTTTGTATGGATCTTTGAAAATTATATTTTTCTTATCCAATAAAATTCGAATTGACCAAAAAACACTATAAAAGTATTCAAGCCTTGAAATTAAGTATTTTTTGAAGTTTAAAAAAATAATTTTCCCGCGCGGGTTCGAACCCACAACCCCCCCCCTCTCCCCCATCTTAGTAGTGAACAATCCGCCCCGTACAGGCATCAACCTTCAGGCTCCTATCAGTTATTACTGCGTTACCATATGAAGGATAACGAGTCTAAAATGCGGTCTCTGTATTTTCCGTTATTATCGATACCGTATATGGGGCCGAACACTGAGTAGGAACTGGAACAGGACTCTTTTCAAAACGTTAAAATAGGGCCCAGCTCCTCAAAATATGGTAAAAACTGAGGGTAATACGGTCTCAGTATCCGAGTCGGGCGATCCGAAAGATCAAGTCCTTTTAAAATCTTAAATCTAAGAAGGACAGATTCATTGTTTTATTGCCTCAAATATTTTTGGAAGGCCAAGAAACCTAAAATCCTCCCTTTTCCCCATTTATTTACAGAATGCCAAAAATTTTAAAATAATGAAAAATGGCAAAATTAGGGCGAAAGGGTCAAAAATTGGACAAAAATATGCCAAATGCCCTGTAAACAAAGCAAAAGGATCACCTTGAGCTTCAGAGATATTTCGAAACTTAGAAAGGAACTTTTTTAAAAATTATCCAGATGCCATTTTTACCCTTTTTTACCCATTTTTATTTTTTACACTTTTGTTGCACTTTATTATTTATTTTCCTTTTTATTAATTTTTAATATGATGAAAGGAGGCTTTGAGAAAAAAAATTTTTTTTTAATTTAAAAAATATTTACTACTTTTAATTTATTACTCATTCACTCTCTAATTCCTTTTCAATTTTTGCAACGCTTAAAAATATTTTTGAAAAATTTTCTTCCTTTTTAAAGAAAATTCCAATGGGTAAGCGCCCAATCCGCCGCGAAACCTCTCCGTCGTGTGAGTATAACGCTGGTTAAAACGGGTGTTCAAGGTCGATTAATCCAAAGCCAAAGGCATAGGACTCGTTAGAATAGATGCTGATCGAAAATAGGTGAGCATAACCGGCCGGTTTTCGGTTTTAGACATAGTACGCACCTCCTAAATTTGTTGGGGGGCCCGATCCGAAAGATCGGAGTCGGGCGATCCGAAAGATCTAGTCGGGCATCAAATTTTGACTCGAAAAAGACTAGGTCCGGCCTGATAAAAATGAGGCTCGAAAAAAATGACTCGAACGTCGGCCCGACTCGAAAACCCCAACTCTACTCCTAAAGGTGGAATTTTTTTGAGAATTTTTTGGGTATTTTTTGGGCATTTGACTTCCCAAAATACACAATTTTGCCAAAATTAAATCCCTAAGAGTCTTTAGCGGTCTAGTATTGTTCGATTCAGCATTTCAAGCATCAGACCATACTAGCAGGAGTGGGTCAGAACATCAGAGGTGTCGGAACTCGGATGAGCTTGAAATCGGAACTGGCTGAAAAGTCGGAACTCGGAAATTAAAATTTTTTTCGGAAATCGGAAGGAAAAAAACATCGGAAACCGAAACTCCGACCCGCCTCTGCTTACTAGGAAATGAGGGATTTGAAGAGTTTTAAATGAAACTATAGCCCTACGACTTTATGGGTTCGCGGCGAAATGGCTTGCTTCCATTACAAAATTCAATCTTTAATTTTAAAATTAAAAAAAATATTTTTTACATCATTTTTTAAATAATGCCATATTTTTACAAAGGAAAAAAATTTTATTTTTAGACAAAAATAAAATTTATCTTACAAATAAATTAATTTAATAATTAAAAATAATTATTTAATTTAGCACGCTATATTTAACATTTTTTTGTAAATATGAAAAGAAAAAAAAATTTTTTTAGAAAAATTGAGAAATTTATTTTTATATGGAGTATTTTTGAATGTTTATGGTTGTTTATTTTATTGAGAAAAAAATTATTTTTATTTACGTATATTTTTATTTTTTTCTGTTATTTCATTTTCTATTATACAGTGCCTCTCCCTAAATGCTGCTTAATTTTTTAATTTTAATTTGAGAAGACTTAAAAAAATTTTGCCCATATTTTGTCTGTATTTTGTATGTTTCCCTCATATTTTGAAAATTTTTCATACATCCTCTAATGCATATTTTTGTGGTTTTTCGTATATATGTAATTCACACCCCTGTTTATAACGTTAGTATATGTACATATGTTTACGACTCTCACTTAGACGACACCTCTCGTCAAATTTTTGACTTTAAACTGGGTATACCGTACTAGAACGGGTAGGATCTCATTTGTTTGTTGCCCTTCTGGTTGAAAATTTTATGTTAACATTGGGGTGTAGTTCAAGCGAGGTGTTTTACAAGCGAACCCCCTCCTCAAACTTTATTAAATTTTACAACTAAAATGTGTAGGCTTCCATTTTGGAGAAACTGAACCTCCCCAAAATTTGTTTAAATAAACTAGCAGATGTTCGTAAATCAAGTGGTCGTTGATCGCTAAACCAAAAAAATTTTTTTGGAAAATTAATTTGAATTTTGCCGGCTAAATTTAATTTTGCCGGCTAAATTTAATTTTGCCGGCTAAATTGAATTTGGACTGAAATTGAATTTTGCCGGCCAAATTTAAATTTTGCCGGTTAAGAATTTTGCCGGCCAAATTTAAATTTTGCCGGCTAAATTGAATTTGGACTGAAATTGAATTTTTAAAAATTTTACTAATTTTTAATTAAACAGATTTATTTATTTACTTTCATTCGGAAAAAATTTCTTGACTCTTTATCATTACAATATTTATTTTTTAAATGTTGCTAATTTATCGAATGTTTTATTGTTCGTCGTTTGTCATCAATCTTTTGTTGTTCAGCATATTTTTTGACAACAAAGGGGTGGAAGGGTTTGTCAGAGATCGATTCAATAGTTCATTACAACAACAGGTGAAAATAGGAAAAAATTATTTTCATGGGAATTCGTGGTTAAAATAGAGAATTTTAAGTTATTTCAGAAATGTCCGCAAATTTTGTCCGCAACTTTTGTCCGCAAATATTTTTATTTTTTTTTCCTGAGGGATTATTTTCTAATAACAAAATTTGTTTATAAACGTGGAGATTAACTTAGATAATAATTTGACTATCATAAGATGACTCATAAAAATTGTTTTTCTGAGAAGATTAAAAATATGACTTGCGGATAAAAAGTTGCGGATTACGCAAAAAAGTTGCGGAACCGAAAATAAGCTTTATTTCTGTTTTTAACTTTTTTGTGTGAAGGGGAGGACTTCATATATTTTTAAAATTCTTAGAGTGATGAAGAGATTATAGACAACAGCAACAATTATCTGGCCACTTCAAATGCACTTACTGATAACGATCAAGAGAAGAATTTGCCAGAATTTTTCGATAAATTTGGCAAAATTGGTGTTAATTATGATTTGGATGTAAATGACACTGAGCCTGCATTGAAAAATAAACCCTTTATTTATTGCCAGGTTATTTATGAAATTAAAATGGGATATCAAAAAAATTAATTTGAATTATTGAACAATACGTTAAAAATAAAATAATCACTAAAAGATGCTCCTTTCTATTGATATAAACATTCTTTCAAAGATCCGCCTTATAGGAATTTTTCTTTAAGAGGAAAGCGCTCCTTTTTGTTAATTTATTGATATAAACTGATCCTGTCAGAGATCCACCTTGTAGAAATTTCCTTTGTAGTTATCCTTTTTGCTGGTCTATTCTTCCCTTTAAAAGAAATAATAATTGAATAAACTTATATTATGTATCTGACCGGCTCCCGCAATAGGCACTTTTATAGATAGTTGATTACAACAATACAGACCTTGGTTAATTTAGTAGTGTCACAAATAAAAACAATAAGAGTTGATTATAGAATGCCGACTGCAGCTAACACAATAGACACTAAACTGAGAAAAGAGCGCCTTTTATACTAAACTAATTAATGACTCCCTAACTGTAATAAAGAGGCTTTTATAGTAGGCGCGGCACCCGAAAACTTGCCTAGTCATTTCTGCTTATTTTCTATCTGAAGTTAAAAAATAAAAAAATATGAGAAGCAAATTACATAAAAAATATTTTTTTAGAAATATGAACAAAATTCGTGTGCTTCTAAAAATCCCGAAGATTGCACAGAAACCGTAAAGTGTTATGCTTCGATAAATACACATTTATTGGTTATTTAAAAATTTTTTAAAAATAATTTTAAATAAAATCCAGGCTTGTATGGCCGTCAGTTTATACACCATAAATGAAAATGGAACCTTTCATGAGATACCAAGCATTAAAAGTTGTTGGTCTCAAGGTGCTAGTGAACTACGCGAATGTCGTTCTGAAGATGAATGTGTGGTCGATACGAGGTTTAGACTGGAATACGGGGGCTGGGACATTCGTTAACGGGCTGGGACATTCGTTAACGGGCTGGGACATTCTGCTAACGTATGAAATTTACTAGATAAGGCAAAATGGAAAATTTTTGACAGGGGACATTGTTGGGAAAATTCTGTAACAAAGTGTGCATATCTCCCTATCTTTGTTACCTAGAAAAATCCAAAAATAAAATATTTTTAGAAGGACCGGAACTATAGGTTTGTCAGCCAAATTCTGTTGTTGTCGAACACACAATTGCAATTCAAAATTTACTTTCAAACCCCAACCAGATTATGAAGATGAGGAAGAAGATAATGAAATTGTCAAGTTGCTAGGTAAAAGAAGAAAAATATTTTTTCAGAGAATTTTGGCTTTGGTATAGCTCATAAGCCCAATGAACCTTTTTAAGTCCATTAAAGCCATTATAAGTCCAACAAGGGTTTGAGTCCGATTAAATCGCTGAGTACCCTGTTTCCGTAGTCATACATAGCCATAGAGTAATCTACTCAGATTGAGTTAATGACTCACACCACTGCTGTGGACTGTTAGTCTGATTCCCATAGTTGGGTACTTAATGGGTTAATTTGACTTGGTTTAGGAGAAATAAGGGAAGAGGGAAGGAAGAAGCTTAATAGTCATGGAAATAGGAAGGATAAAATAATGACGGAGGGAGGGGGAGTGATTTCAAAGTAGGGTAGCAACCCGACCTTTCGGAGGCGGGTGTGTCGGGGATCGGGGTTTGTCGGGGTAAAGTCTTCGGGGTTCGGGTCGAGGTTTTCGGGGCATAAACTAGACCAGCTGTTATTATCGGGTTGCTACCCTATTTCAAAGTATTACCTCGTCGAGTCTGGTACCCATAAAGTCAAACCCCCCCATTGACTCGCAAGTTTTTATTGAACTCATAAAGGTTCAACGGACGTATAAATTAGACCAGCTAGTTATTTAAAAATCTGATTTATCTTTAAGCAAACCAACAACAAACACTTCCCCCATCCCAACCAACATTCCACCAACAACTACAAAATTACCATTTGGCATTATTCATTGTTGGAATGCTTCTTTTAATTCTTTTGTTCATAACAATTTCAATTTCATGTTTTGCTATTAGTCAAAAACTTAGAAAAAAAATTACAAAAAAAGGGATTAAACAAATTAGACCAATAAGCAATGGAATGAACAGTAGAGAACCTTTAATTGGTGGGGAGGTTACGTTGAGTGATGGAACTAGGTTGAAGTTGACTGAGATGGAAATTACTGAAGTAATTGTTTGAAATTAATGTGTGGGGGATTGAAGGGGTTTTGCGGACATTTTTTTGAATAAATCTAGAAAGAGAGAGAAGGGGAACTCTCTCTATCAGGGGAACCCTCTCTAGAAAGAGAGAGTTCCCCTGATATCGCTCCAAATCTCGTGATATTCTAGATATCCTTCCAAATCTAATTAATTCCCGATCTCCCTCCAAAGCCCGCGATATCTTCCGTAATCCTTCCCAATCTCATTAAACTATTAGGCCCGTCTGAAGGTGTCCGGAACTTTTTTGATTGTGTGGGACCCGCCAATCAAACAGTGACCTAGTGACTTTTCAACCTATTCAATTTTCTTAACAGAATAACAAAGGTGGAACGAAATAATGAGAATAACGGAATAATGATGGGTCAAGCCATGACCAAGAAGCCATGACTAGACCCGGATACCTCCTAACAATTACATATTAAGTAATTGTATGTATTATTTCTGAAATTTCTCAGGTTAACTATACGACTCTATACAGGGTGCGGCAAAAGTTCCGTCCCTAAGAATGCCCGCAAAACCCCTTTAAATCTACTACATTGCCCTTTTACAAAAATTAAAAAAAAATAAATTTTAAAGAAAATTGCCGAGGGACGTTTTGGCCAAGTCTATAAAGCAAGAATTGGAGATAGATTTTTGGCTGTAAAACAATTTGTGGATAATGGAGAGGATAGTTGGACTAATGAAATGGTTAAAGAGCAAAATTAAAAAAAATTTTTCAAAAAAATATTTTTTAGGATATTCATTCAATGAAATCAATTTCAAAAAATGATAATATTGCCGAATTTCTTGGTGGATTTTATTTTGAAAAGAAATATATGCTATTAATTAAATTTTATTCAAAATGTTCTCTTTTTGATTATTTGAAGGTAATGCCTAAATATTCTGGTTCAGAAACCTAAAAGTCGGGGTCGCTATAGTATAGGTCCACCGAGATCGGAACTCATAATATATACCATTCGATTCGTCTCGCCGAGCTGAGTTCAAATATGCAAGAATTTTCTGCGGGACGCGAAAACTCGCAGAGATACAGGCGATTGAAAATCGAAAAACCATAGAGGGGACCAAGCACTTTTTTGGGGTGAAAAATTCGAAAATACAAATTATACCTCTTTCGAAAGAGCTCGTCGAGCTGAGTCTAATGACACCAAAATCAACGAAATCTGACTTAATATGACCGAGTTACAGACCCACAAATTTGAGAATTTTGGGGGCAAAAAATTCGAATATGCAAATAATAGCTCATTCGATCTGAGTCGAATGACACCAAAATCAGCTCGATATCTTGATTCTGAATAAAGTTATGACCAACAGAATCTTCGCTGGAAAAACTGTTTTTGTGCTGCTACGGAGGGTAGGCCGGGCATGGTCTTCGCTACACGATGGCCGTGCTTCGCTGCGGTCGTGCTCGCTTCGCTCGCGGCGACCGTAGCGAAGCGGCGGCCGTCGTTCCGCTCGACATGCCCGGCTTCCTCCGCAGCGGCAAAAACTTTTTTCCGCGAAACCCTTGTGGAAGGGGTAAAAACAAACGGTCATAACTTTGTAAAATCAAGTCAGATTTCGTTGATTTTGGTGTCATTCGACTCAGCTCGACGAGCTCTTTCGAATGAGGTATAATTCGCCTATTCGAATTTTTGACCCCAAAAATCAGCTTGGTCCCCCCTTTGTTTTTTCGATTTTTGAGGGCATGTATTTCAGCGAGTTTTCGTCTCCCGCAGAAAATTCTTGCATATTTGAACTCATCTCGGCGAGACGAATCGAATGGTATATACTATGAGTTCCGATCTCGGTGGACCTATACTATAGTACAGCCTAAAAGTCCTTAGGTTTTACTCGAAAGTCACAATAATTCTGAAAACTTAAGTTTTAAGCATTGACCTTAAAACTTGAGTTTAGTATCTGTAATTTTATAAACTTTAATTCTGAAGACTTGTATTGAAATGCAGAAACTTGTTCTGAAAGCTTAAGTTTTAAAACTTGGATTCTGAAAATTTGAGTTTAAACTTTAATTCTGAAAACTTAAATTTTGCAACTTGGATTCTGAAAGCTTAAGTTTTAAAACTTGGATTCTGAAAATTTGAGTTTAAACTTTAATTCTGAAAACTTAAATTTTGCAACTTGGATTCTGAAAGCTTAAGTTTTAAAACTTGGATTCTGAAAATTTGAGTTTAAACTTTAATTCTGAAAACTTAAATTTTGCAACTTGGATTCTGAAAACTTAAGTTTTAAAACTTGGATTCTGAAAATTTGAGTTTAAACTTTAATTCTGAAAACTTAAATTTTGCAACTTGGATTCTGAAAGCTTAAGTTTTAAAACTTGGATTCTGAAAATTTGAGTTTAAACTTTAATTCTGAAAACTTAAATTTTGCAACTTGGATTCTGAAAGCTTAAGTTTTAAAACTTGGATTCTGAAAATTTGAGTTTAAACTTTAATTCTGAAAACTTAAATTTTGCAACTTGGATTCTGAAAACTTAAGTTTTAAAACTTGGATTCTGAAAATTTGAGTTTAAACTTTAATCCTGAAAACTTAAATTTTGCAACTTGGATTCTGAAAGCTTAAGTTTTAAAACTTGGATTCTGAAAATTTGAGTTTAAACTTTAATTCTGAAAACTTAAATTTTGCAACTTGGATTCTGAAAACTTAAGTTTTAAAACTTGGATTCTGAAAATTTGAGTTTAAACTTTAATTCTGAAAACTTAAATTTTGCAACTTGGATTCTGAAAACTTAAGTTTTAAAACTTGGATTCTGAAAATTTGAGTTTAAACTTTAATTCTGAAAACTTAAATTTTGCAACTTGGATTCTGAAAACTTAAGTTTTAAAACTTGGATTCTGAAAATTTGAGTTTAAACTTTAATTCTGAAAACTTAAATTTTGCAACTTGGATTCTGAAAGCTTAAGTTTTAAAACTTGGATTCTGAAAATTTGAGTTTAAACTTTAATTCTGAAAACTTAAATTTTGCAACTTGGATTCTGAAAACTTAAGTTTAAACTTTAATTCTGAAAACTTAAGTTTAAACTTTAATTCTGAAAACTTAAGTTTTACGACTTTAATTTTGAAAATTTAAGTTTGAACTTTAATTCTGAAAACTTAAGTTTGAACTTTAATTCTGAAAACTTAAGTTTGACTTTAATTCTGAAAATGAATTCTGAAAATTTGAGTTTAAACTTAAATTTAAGCGTAAGCTTAAAACCTTTAAACAAATTCTGAAACTTGAATAAATTGAAAGACTTGAAACTTAAATGACTAGTTTTAAAACTTGAATGTTAATTTAATTCTTAAAACTTAAGTTTGCGATTAAAACTTGCGGACTTTTAGGAGTATAAAGAAAAATAACCGAAATTTAATTTTAATTTACATTCTTGAAATTTAAAGGAGAATACAGTAACATTGCTTCAATCGTTAAGAATGATTTCGTCAATGCTTTGTGGACTTGCTTTTGTAATATTTCTAAAAAAATCTTTTTTTATTAAAAAAAATTTTTTTTAAGTTGCACGAAGAAATACCAAATGGACTTGATCCTAAGCCAACAATTGTTAGTTTTCATAGTCAAACCTCACTATAAGATACCTCCATTATTAGATACACTCCAATTTTAAGATACGCTTTTGGAAAATTTGATTAGCCTCTGGGTGGGAAAGGCTGTCTGAGAGACACCCTCTATTTAATATACACCTCATTATAAGCTGTTATATTTTAGCCCCAAGGAGGTATATTATAATGAGATTTGACTCTATTTTGTAAACAAAAAATAAATGAAATTATTGTTTAAGGTACATAGAGACTTAAAAAGTAAAAATATTCTTGTTAGAGATGATTTGACTACTTGTATTACTGACTTTGGATTAGCACTTAAATGTGAATCTTCAAAAACTATTTCACCTGGACAAAATCTTTTACAGGTGTTAATAGAGTTTTTAACAATTAATTATTGGGGCATGTTGTTATCGTATTTTTCTCACTTTTCTAATGGAAACTTAAGTTTTAAAACTGATTCTGAAACAGATTCAGAACACTTGAATCTTAAAACTTGAATTTTTAAGCGTGAGCTTTAAAACTTGGACTCAAAAATATTTAATTCTGAAAACTTAAGTTTTAAAATAGAAGCTTAAAAACTTAAATTCTGAAAACTTAAGTCTTCAAAAAGTATTCTGAAACTTAAGTTTTAAGGCTTAAATTCTGAAAAAATTCAAAACTTGAATTTTGAAATTTAAGTTTTAAAACTTGGATTCTGAAAGAATAAATTCTGAAAACTTAAGAACCTAAATTTTCAGAATTCAAGTTTAGAACTTAAGCTTAATAATAATTCTGAAAACTTAAGTTTTATAACTTTAATTTTAAAACTTGTCTTTAAACTTGAATTCTTATACTTGAATTTTTAAATTTAAGTTTTAAAACTTGGATTCTGAAAACTTGAGTTTTAATACTTAAATTCTTAAACTTGGATTCTGATATTAAATTCTGAAAATTTGAATTCCCAGAGGGGCATATTATACTTTGGTCCGATTATATTTAAATATACAAGGTTGGTACTCGTCGTTATATGTCCCCAGAAGTTTTGGAAGGAGCTACAGAATTTACAAGTTTTGCTTTCCAACAAATAGATGTTTATGCCGCTGCTTTAGTAATCTGGGAAATATTATCAAGGACTTGTATTAATGAAGAAAATAAGGAAGAAAATGTTGAAAATAAAGTATCCGAGAATTGTGAGAATATTCGTTGTAAGTTATATGTTATTTAGAAAATCCGCAATTTTTTGTCCGCAATTTTCTATCCGCAAATTTTTTATCCGCAAATTTTTTATCCGCAAATTTTTTATCCGCAAATTTTTGTCCGCAATTTTTTATTCACAAATTTTTGTCCGCAAAGTTTTGTCCGCAATTTTTTTCTGCAAATTTTTTGTCCGCAAATTTTTATCCGCAAATTTTGTCCGTAATTTTCAAAAAATTTTTTATTAATTAAAAAATATTTTAAAGTAACATCAACACCTCCACCATTCATGCTCCCTTACGAAGCTGAAATTGGTACAAATCCTTCTCTTAGCCAAATAAGGGAACATGTAGCTTTGCGTAAATGTCGGCCACGTGTTAGACCAGTATTAATGGACAATGAAATTTCTACTTGTATTGTAAGGACAATGTCGGAGATGTGGGACCATGAACCGGTACTCTTTTGAATTAATTAGAGGCCTGAGGGGATATATTTATGGACGATATAAATTCAGACTTAGTTATAAGAACACCCTCGGATATGAAAAGATGGAGCCTTATGATGAGGGTATCTTAAATTGAGGGTATCGCCCAATAATGGTTAACCACCTTTTAAAAGTATCTTGAATTGAGGTGTTCTTGTATTGGGTGAATCTTATAGAGAGGGTCGACAGGTAAATATGAATACTCAGTCATTCGGATCTTATTATAAGATGTACTTCCGTTTAAGTTGTTTTGAAAATTTGGTTAGCTACTGGTCGATGGGAGCTACCTAAACGATACTCTCTATTTAAGTCACCCCTCATTATAAGATACCCTTCATACCTCTCGTTATAAAATACCTCTATTATAAGATACCTTCTATCTAAGACACATCAATCTTATGATTACTCAATACCCTCTATTTAAGGAACCCCTCATTAGGTTCCGTGACTTTTGCGCCGAGAACATTTGCGCCGCGACTTTTGCGCCGGGCGACTTTTGCGCCGCCACTATCATTAAAAATATATCAATAACTACAGCCGGACCTCACTTTAGTAGGGTTTTCGGATGATTGGAAATCTTCGGATATCCGGATCCGATTTCAGAACTGAAAATTTCGGATATCCAGCATTTTTCTGATCCGGATATTTTAAATAATGGCGGCGCAACTGTCGCGGCGCATAAGTCGCGGCGCAAATGTTCTCGGCGCAAAAGTCGTGATACCCCTCATTATAAGAGACGCTTTTTTATTCTCCAAGTGCGTATCCTATAGGAAGGGTCAAGGATATTACCTAGTTAGTATGTAGACTACCCAAAATTTCCCTCATTTTCAGGATTGCCGAATCACCTCTTCATGTGCAAGAGACAGGAGTTTAATTTGGTTAACAAATACAAGAACACTAATGCCAAATTAAATAAAAACAAAAAAATCCAAAAAATTTGAGAAAAGCAATTATCCGTCCCATTTATAGATCTCTATATATACAGTGCCGGAAAAAAAGATAGGACCAGAGGCTGTTAATTTAGTTTTTATCGATTATCTCTTTTCGATTAACTTTTAGAAAAAAAGTTTCAACACTAAAATTGTAGATCTTTAAATACTCTTTAAAATGAGTATAAATATCAAGATAATTTACCGACAAATTTTTTTCCAAAAAAATTTAAACGATACTACTTAATTTTTGTGGTGGAAAAAAAGATAGGACCAAGATAATTAAAATTAAAAATATCGACTTTTGTTCGGTCAAAAATTCTATAAAAATTTTTATAAACATTTCCATCGATACCAAGTATAAAATTTAAAAGAACGAAGTCAGTAACTTATTTCTTTATCGAGATCTCAAATCTCAAAAATCAACGGAAAATAGGGGTACAGTACTTCAAAAAATATTTTAGCCCCCTAGAGCTTATATTAAAAATGTTATTTTATGCCTATCTGAAAGCTCATAAAATTTACCACAAAATAGTCCGGAAATTAATTTTTCTAAAAAAATACCTGGTTAACTCTAGTCCACTTTACATTAAAAATTTTCAAAATCTCCCAAAATACCCCAAAAATGATAACTTAAAAAATTGCCTTACCTCTATCTCCATGAGTTTTTATTGGAAAAATAAAAACTTGTAATATTTTGTAGCAAATTTTATGGGCTTTTTAATGGGCCCAAAAGAAGATTTTTTATAAAAGCTCCAGGGTTTTAAATATTTTTTGAAGTACTGTACCCCTATTTTCCGTTAATTTTTGAGATTTGAGATCTCGATGAAGAAATAAGATACAGACTTCGTTCTTTTTTCTTTTCTACTCAATATCGATGGAAATGTTCACAGAAATTTTTATAGAATTTTTGACCGAACAAAAGTCGATATTTCTGGTCTGGTCCTATCTTTTTTTCCACCCCAAAAATTGAGTAGTTTTTGTTTTGAAATATTTGTAAAATTAATTGTTGATCAAAAAGGTAATATTTGTACTCATTTAATAGAGGATAGATTAATTGATAATTTCTATCAAATTTTTTCTCTTAAAAGTCTAAAATTCGGAAGAAAATTTGAGGAAAGGAAAATGTGTGCGTCTGGTCCTATCTTTTTTTCCGGCACTGTATACACAAAAATATTTTTATTATTATTTTTTTCAAACTCTCACCCTCATTTTTCTGTTTTTTTCTGTTACCTCATTCTTGGACTCCTTTCTAATTCTCTTTTTTTTCTTCCTTTATATTTTTTTATTAATATTTATTATTATTTTTTTTTAATTTATGAAAAAAAAATTATTTTTTTATACTATAGTATAAATTTTAAAATTCTGCGTCAAACTTTTCATACAGGGAGCAGTCCAACCTACTGCCGAAGCTATAACTTCTTTCAGAATTGTCGAATCCAGGAAGCCTTGGTATGGTTCGATACGCCTCGACGAGCTGAATCCAACCATACCAAGTTGTCTCAGATTCGATAATTTTGAACGAAGTTATAGCCTCGGCGGTAGGTTGGGGTTTACCCATTCATACAGGGTGACAAGAAAAGTTTAGGACAAACATTTATGGCATAACTTTATTCAACTTAAAGATATTGAGATCAACTAAAATTTATTATATATGATAGAGAAATAATTAAGGAAAAAATATAATAAAGAATTTTCGAAGTTCCTACCACTTGCTCGGATACAGTAGAAGTCGCGTGGAAAATTTTTTGGCAAAAGTTCGCATCTTGTGTGAGATTTTCTCTAATTCCCGAACGATTAAGAGCCGTAGCGACTCCAAACTTTTGGATTATTAAGAACAGACCTTTACCTCAAAAATACTAAAAGCAGTAACTAATTGGATTAAGCCCCGATGAGTACGGGGGCCATATTTAAGACGAGTTAAAACGGGGCAAAATTCATGCATATGCAAAAATTAATTATATAAATTTATCCACGAGCAATAATTTGGACATTCAATTCAATTCAATTTATACGCATAAAAACGTGACATTCAGATAAAATAAATAAAAATGTATCAATTGTTTTATATAAGGTCTGGAGGCAATTGAATGGAAAGTGGCTTTGATAAAACATTGTTTAAGTTAATATTGTTTAGGAGCTTTGGAAACAATTCGATTGACGATTTTTGTAATTCTGTTGGGAGTTTTCTGTAAATGTTTGGGATGTCTATAAAGAATGAGTTTTTCCGAATGGTGCTTGAACAAAAGGGTATAAATAAATTATGCGGGTTACCTCTAGTAGTGGTAGGGAGAATGCTGAATGAATTATCATGTTTTAATTTAATTTTGCCTGAGATAATATTATGGAAAAGGATAAGATTTGATTTTAAACGTCTGTGCGATAGAGATTCAAGTTTAAACAGGTCAAGGAGTTCTTTATAATTAGGTAATGTTGGGCTGT